TATTTGCACAACTTCTTTGAAACTTTGTGCATATCGATCATTCTAGACACACTTTTCGTTTTTGATTATTCATAAAGGAATATGGATTATTTTTAGTATCGAGAAAAAGTATTCCGATAGTTTGTTTTTCAAAAAAAAAGCAACACTCTTTTCTATGGACCCAAAAGAACAAAAATACTAAAGATACTCATATATACAAATTTGTAAAGCAATTGTGGTAATTTCTACCGTATTGATTAACAATAAGAATTACGTCTTTGACTGGACTAGTTATTCGTTTCATTGTGTCTAAATAAATACGGTATTCCATTCCATTTAAGTAAAATATGCAAATTTTGTAGAGAATCGAACGAAGAATCGATCAAAACAAATATATGTTATTCCACTATGTTAAAAGTCAAATGAAAAGACAACAGGTAATAGTGAAGATAAAAATGAATCCAAAAAAAAGCAGAAGATCTAGTTGATAATGAGAACAAACTGTTCTAATCTAACTAGAAATACTATTTATCCAGAAAATAAATTCTAATTGCTTCTTCTTTTTCTCTATTAAAACAAAGGACGAAATTATGGCATTATATACATTATGTTTTCCTAAAAAAGAAACAGAAATAAATGTATGTTGATCTATTATTTAGAAGAATTCAAAATTGATTTATATGAAAAATTAAAATTATTATTTGCTCGTAGGAAATTTTAAATTGTTCTAAATTTCAATTTTTCCAATAACATATACAATCACATTCACACGCGCATAGACATTCATTTTGTACTAACTAATACGAACTGTTCTCAAGTGGTAATCGCCGTAGCCAACAGTGCTGAAAAATAACAATTAAATACATATATATATTATTATTAAAAAAAGAATTGAAAATTTTAGGTTTTTGTGTTTTTTTTTCTAGAATGAATACAAGATACCGGTAGATCATAAATGTGATCCTAGTTAAGAGACGTATGTAAAAGTCTTTTCGAAGTAATACAAACTATGTTTGTTAGATTCGGATAGAAAAAGATAAATGGATACGCTTTAACTTTGTTATTAAATAGAAATAGATTTTCTTTTTTTTTTTTTTTTATTAAAAAAGATTCTTTATTTAGTCTACAACGAAATGTTTTATTGAAAAGAGAAAACTTTGAACATTATTATTTTTCTCGAGATTAATCTAAGTATCAAAACTAGTTATTAAATGTAATGATTATCTTTAATCAACTAGAAAAGACAGAAATGCTCGATAAAACTAGATGATCTTCAAGTGTCATGCAACTGCCAAATGCGGTACGGAACTTCGCATGTCGATCATGGGAAAAATTGATATCTCATTAAAAAAAAAATGATTAATTGTTTCTATAATTCATTATACAACGGTTCACTACTCAAGATATTTACAGTTCATACCAACGAGTTTGTTGTCTATCATTCTTATTGAAAGTTTGAATTATCTCTGTTTCGATTAACCAAATGATTGAAATACGAAAGGAATGGCGCAATACATTACTACGAAAACGATTAACGTATATCAACATATTTGCACAGGACGTAGTGAATTTATCGCTTAATTATCTATATGATCCATTAGCTATTATCAATTTCCCATATAACCCTGTTGAATTAAGTCAACTTGTCATCGTTCTAATGATGTCGAAGCTTGAAAAAGAATTAAGTCAATAAAAATTTGCTTTTTCGTTTAACTTTCTCTAAATGAAACATTCTGTTGAAGATTGGAAAACGAATATTATAGATTCTATTATGAAACTTCATCATCACACTTGAATTAGTATTTTCTAATTTTTTGTTTTCGAAATCATTCCGACCGATTACGAGTACTTTGGATACGTACATCTAATAAGTAAAAGAAGAACAGAAAACTCTCAAAGGACTATATAAAGATGGTGCGAAGCAATCTTAAATTTTGACAATCAAGTTTATATTAACATAAGAATGATAAACAAATTAATCTAGAGCTGATCTTGTTCTGTCGAAAGCTTTCATTGTCGTTTCTGCTCATAACAGTTAGCAAAAGACTAGCTCATCACTTTTAATTATCTCATGTAAAAGATAGAGGTCAAAGTGCCATTTTGCAGAACTTACTAATAATGAAAGAAAATCCAAATTGAAGTTTCAAAAACATTTGGTTCATCTTAAGATATCAATCTCATCTTTTATGAAGTTCGAACGAGCTTCTAGCGATTTGCTGTTGTCTAGATCTGATTATGAGACAAAAAAGAAACAGATTTTGCGATAGTGAAAAACATACAAAGTATGGAGATCGAATGTGTACGCGAGCGGACTACAGAAATGTTCTGTTTCGCATTGTATTAATTAATCCATCTATCAAAAGCTAGATAGAAATTCTTTTGATAAAAAATTTAACTCTATACAACTTAAATAACTTGATAAAAATAGAACATACAAAAAAGGATTCTTCTCTTATATTTGTTATATTTTTGAAGAGAAAATAGTCCATTGTTCAGATGAAACAGAAAGTTTAGAATATATTAACTAAATCAGGCATTGAATGAAACAAGTGGAAGATCAAGCATATGACACAATAAGAGAACAGAAAAATAATCCTTCTTTTGCATTCTACTAATGTAAATGTTAATGAGTCTCAATCTCTAGTATCATTTTCATAGGATAAGGACATTTCATAGATTGAACTATTTATTCATCATTATTCATACCTCATTGTGACGACAAGAAAATAGACACATTGGAAATAAGTTATTGGTTGTGAATTCGAATAATCTTGAAAGAAATCACCTGAATTTTCCACCTATATATATTTCATAGAAAAATCATCGTTTTGGTTTATTTATTGTTTTATAAAAGAGCAATAATAATACCAAATGAACAAATCCAGCTGCTGATAACAATACAGTCAACAGAAGACATAACACGCGTGTTAATCGAATTGAATTACTACTGCGAAGTATGTGTAAAAATTGAAGTATGTCAGGAATATTCATAATACGTGCAATACGAAAAAACCGCATTCCTATTAAAATAATTAGTACGTAATAAAATATAATCTTTACATACCAATCCAATTTCTTCCAAGAACAATAGCAGTAAATGATGGTGGAATAGTAAAAAAATCGACCCATGAATGAATATCCAAACACCAAAATCGAAGTTTATCTTGTGCAGCAACAAACTATTAAAATAAGATAAATATTTTCCTTTGTGGTTTTATGTTTTTTTAATTAATCAATAAATCATACTCGAAGAAAAAAATAGAAAAGAAAAAATATATTAAAGACTAAATCGATTTGTTGTGTTGGGCTTTGTGACCATAATTGACATGATTCAATTGGTCTATAGAGAACAAAAAAAGAAACGATAAAAAAAACATATCACATAAATCTATATATTTTTTCGATTTATCTTTACTTACTGTGTGTTTACATCATAAAAATAAATAAATAACGAAGCTAAACTCAAGATAACCACAGTCACAACCTATAAAAGATATCAGATAAATCAATCATTTTGTTTACTTTTCTAATATTTACAAGAATTTTTCCAGGCAGCTGTTGACCAGATATTAGTTTAGCTGCATATTCTTTGATTATCGTTGCCCAATTACGTTCATTAATTGCATCAAATGAATATGATATTTCTTGTTTATCAGGATTTGATACTAATCGTAATGATCGATGTCTCATTGTTGGTCCGCGCTTATAAATTAAAGCACCACAACGCCAAAGAAGAATAGCAATAACACCAATAAGAAATGTTGCAAGACTTGACAAAAGAAAAGCAAACCAATAACGTTCGCCTGAACATGAATCAGCTAAACTTGTTTTACTAATTGACGTATTACTGTTATTCGTATCCATTGATGAATATTAAAACGTTATTTACTAAATCAAACAAAACAGAAATAAAAAACAAAAAAATATGTCGCCTTAGATGTAATGTATACACAATAGTGGTTATTAAATAGTTTTTTTTATTGTATTATTTCCTTCGGCAAAACAAGTCCAAGAGAAAGTCAATTAATATTATTCTAATTTAGTCCAAGGTCCAAAGAGAAAAAAAATTTTTTGTATATATGAATATCAAATCTTTTCTGATAGTCCTCGACTTTTTTTGTCTCCTCAATCATCAAATAAAAATAACAACTATGACAAACCTTTGAGCATTAGCTAAATATTAGACAATTTCTATAATAGCTTGAATCTTGTTGGCAGCTGTCTACAACATGAAAGAATTGTGAGAAGAATCATACTTAGAGTAAAAAGAAAGATATACGAAGCGATAGACGAAGAAAAGGGACCTCCCCCTCTTTATTGGTAATAATGCATAGGCATCATTTGGTGGAATCATACAGCCGTTCGCGCCCAGTAGCAATGTTTTAACAGTAACCGCTTTTCTCCTCCCGCGCCTTATTAATATGCTTATACGATGGCAAAACTATAGCAGTAACATCAGAAACAACAACAACAACTCGACACCGGTCTTTTCTCCTTCAATGCACAAAGTGGAAAGAAAGAACAGCAATTACTCGAACTCTACTGCCAACAGAAGAAAACACAAATGAATCTGTAAAAGCAAACAGAACAAGAACAAGAAGGAGAAGAAAGAGACGTAGAAGAAGATACCATGATATCATCTCTTTCTTCTTAGGTCATATTTCTATATTAAATGTATTGGATTCTTCTTCTTCTCTTTTTTCTTCCATTTCCATTTATTCCATTCACAACAAGGACATTTATGCGAGAAAATAACCGTGGAAAATAAATAGCACTTATCTATTATTCAATCGTGTATATTTCCATACAACCTAAGACACGAACCTTTAAGACTTCTCTTTAATGAATAATAATATATTCATGTTGAATGTTTCATATTTATATATAATCATGTCAAATTGTCTCCAATCAATTCTTATTATTGAGATAGAAGAAAAAAAGAAAGAAAACTACAAGCAACTACAAAGACATTCTTTTTTTTATTTCATTATGAATGTTATCTTATCAGTTTTCTTTTGTGTTTATGGCGGACAAGAAACATCTGAATCACATTGCATTTTCATAAAATTATATCGAAGACCTCTGGGACATGATAGTGTTGATAGAGTTAAACCAGTGCATTGAAAATATCGACCAAATTTACAATTTATTGGATCAGCATATAAACCTGGAGCTGGACATGAAAAATATGCTATAATAAAATAAAAACAAAATGTTTTGTTTTTCTATAATTTTATTATTGATTTTTTTTCTATTTACGCGTTTGACAACATTGATCAGTAAAACCTGATGGACATCGACAATAAGCAAAAACTGCTGCACCATTTACTCTTTCTTCACAAGTACCACCATTTTGACACAAGCCAGGTGTACATCGACCAGGTACACCTAAAAGAAATAAAATTGTTGTTCAATTAATTTCAAAAAGAAAAATCTTTTTTTATTTTTTCTTACCGACTAATTCACAATTCGGACCAGCGAAACCTGTTGAGAACGAAAAAAAAATTCGATGTTTATTTATTTTTTCCTCCAAATTCAAAATTTTAATACCATTTAAACATAAGCATTGCATCTCAACTCCATTTTCAATTGATGGTACTGGATTACAAACACCCCCATTAGCACATGTTACATTTTGACAATTTGTTTGAACTAGAAAATTAATCACTTTTAGATAAATATTAATAGAAAGTGAAATTCTACCAGGCGGTGTCTCACAATAACGACCTGTAAAACCAGCTTGACAAATACATGTATCTGTTGCCGTATTATAAGTACCTAATTATGTCAATATAAAACGTGATTATACTATGTAGATCTTGTTCTTTTGCTTACCACCGTTGAGACAGAAACCAGACGGTGGTGGTGTTGTTGTCGTTGCTGGATTAGCATCTATGTTTATATAAATAGTTATCAATTATTCTTAGTAATTTCTTGAAGTTATTTTATCTCTTATAGGAACTCCATTAAAATAGTGGTGGTTCGAAGTAGTCAGCATTGGGAGGAGGGATAGGCCTCTCGATTCTTTTTGCAAAGAAAAAACTACCTGTCTTCCAACTGAGAAAAAACAAAAATTTTCTTCGATTGAGAGAGAAATTTTACACCTCCAACACTTCCTCTTCTCAGTCAGACCACTACTGAATTAAAACTACATGTTATTTTTTCTTACTTGGACATGGACCAGGATTAAGATAATTATTTGTTCCATTACTACAACCACAAGCATAATATAAACTTTCAAAAAACATTCTTTCGATACAAACACCATTTGTACCACAATTAACCGATTCACAAATACCTATAATGATTAGTTAAATTATTATAAATTTGAAATCTTATTGAACAAAATTCTTACGACAACGAGTATTTATTTCTACATGACCATCAGGACATGTACAAACAACATTATTAAAATTGTCTGTTGCTTGTATACATTGATAATTAGGTGGTACAAAATTACCGCCTAACTCACAAGGATTTGTATTACATTGAACTATATAAAGAATTTACAAGATTAAACTAGCTAAAATATGATCATTATATTAACCTGCTAATGAAAATTTCATTGATGTAAACATTATCAATATCAAAGATATTATACGATGCATTTTTTTTACTGGTTTTATTTTTTGATTTCTACTCTAAAGGAATATTTTGATTTTTAAAAAAAAACAATATTTTATACTTCCACTTTTTTGTTCCTACGCAAGTAAATCAGACATAGAGATCCTATTTCATTGTGATATTTTCACCTTGAAATGTAATGATGATATTAATCATATTTGTACATGATCATATATTGACATCAACAAAACAATACATTAAATACCTTGAGTTATGTGTATCATGTGATATCAAATTTAGACTTTGTTTTCATAACTATTGATAAGCCATCGTAAGAAAAAGGTCGAAAAATAAGATTTTTCAATGTCTTGGCATGCAAATAATGATTCATAAAAATAAAACAGAATATTCACGAAGCTTTTTTTTTTGAATATCTAAAAACCTTTTGTATTATTTTACATCATATATTGATTCAGTATAACATGATAGATAAGATAGATATTCGATTGATGATAGAAAAAGACGGATGGATTATCTAACTATATTTCTGTCAATCAGCATATTTACATAACTTAGGATTGTTTTCTTATTGTGTTTTAATTAATCTAACTTTATTTCTGTCAATCAACACGTCCATATCATTCAGGTTGTTGTTTATTGTGTTTTAATTATTTGATTTTTTTTTTTTTTTTTGATATTCTATTATTCATCGATCTATTTCATTATGTAAAAAGATTATATTTTATGCAAGATAACTCAAAAATAACTTTCTCAGATGAACTTCAACATATATATATATACATGACAATTTATTCATATTATTAATGTTTTTGTCATCCGTAATACATAAGTGTTTCTAGCTGATATTCATTGAAAAGAAGAACATTATAATAATATAATCCTACGCATAATACAGGAATTTTTTTGGAGACAGTTGGTTTTTGCATGAATATAGCCTACAAACAAATAAATGATGATATGGGATTAAAAACAAACAAACTATTATTATGAATATATGAAAATTTCTTTGTTTGACTAAATTAACTAGCCAATCAATCAATCTATTCAATAAATACATGTTCAATTCAAGTTGAATAAATATTTTCAAATAATAATCAACGTTTTTCATTTGATTCAAGTCGCTTTAAATTTTTTTCAAGTTCTTTCTAAACATACAAATACTCATATATATATATATATATATATGTATGATTAAAGAAAATAAATATGATACTTTATATTCTTCATCAATACGTTGACATAAATTTTTCATATAAATATGATCATTAAGCATAACTATTTCACTTCCAGTTAAATCTCGGATTCGTTCAGCTACATTTTTTTGTAGTTGATTATTTCTATTTAAAAAAAAATATCAATGAAAATGTCTTATTAATTACGATGAAAATTTCTCACTTTGGTAATCGAAATGGAATGGCATTTGCTCGACGAATTTCATCAAGTACATTTTTTTTATTGAAATCTTTAAGAATCTCTTCAATGATTTCTAAACGACGTTCTTCACTCAAACCGCTTGGTATAACTTTCGGTATTTCCATAGGTTTTTTCTGATGTTGATGATTTTTTGTCAATGAACTTTCCTCTCCAATAAAATCATCTTGTCGTTCAGAAATTATTTCGATTCTAATTTTCATATAAAAAGAATTTATTTTTTTAAAATTCGATTAAATATTGATCATACTGAAATGGTATTTTATCAAGTAGTTCATCAGTTATTTCTTCTGAGATTGATAAATTGTTATTATTGGTAATTTGTTTATGTAATTTTTGTAATTGAATAATATTTGCACTTGGCAATTGTAGAGATGGATCATAAATTGATAAAAAACGAGTAGCTCGTCTAGAGGGTTTCAAAGATGATGGTGATTTTTCTTCTTGTTGAAGTTGTTCTTTGTCTTGTGAAAACTGTAATTTTTGACGCTGACGTCGAGCATTATGTGTTCCTAGTGGCATAATTTCATTTTGAGTCTCTTGACTTTCGACATTTACACTGTCCATTACAATTCGTAGAAATTGTCTATGTTATCAAAAGAAATATTGAAAAGGGTAGTTCTCTGCTATTTTTATAGCATATTGATAGATGATAAAAGAACAAAATAGGATATTGCATTTCACAAAAACAAAAAAACAAAAAACAACTGTTTAAACTTCTGTCATTTTCTATTGCAATAATATATAAATGCGTCTTTTCTTTTTGTTATATAAAAATGTATTCAATTGATTAGTGTTACAATAATTTTATTACGAGAATAAGAACTTATAGAATTTATATTATTGTATTTGAATGACAAATGATAACATATCAGCTAAGAATAATTCATATTAATCGAGAAACTTAGACTACATCATTTTCAATTTGATATATCAAGTGTATGTTTCTAATTAACACGGGATTTTTAATACGCCGATGTTTTCTCTTTTGTATTTTAATGAAACAGTGAACAAATAAATTCTATTTAATGACTGATTAGGTATATGACTTATCTAACTATAAATGAAAGAAGTTTTGTAGAAAGCTAAAAATATAGTCGAGTTATGAACGGTAGAAAGAACTCTATATATTGAAATCATACTAAGTGCAATATCCGCGATGGGAATGCTGATGTAGTTGCATCGAATTAGAACGGGTCACTGCAAATATAGAGAAGAACATTCTTCTTCTGTATATTTAGAGTGATCCGTTCTAATTTGGTGCAAGTTTTGCGTTAGTGTTCTTGTTGCAGACATTGCATTTGTTATGAACTCTATGAACACAGTTCATTCTACAGTTCATAATTCGATTATATTTCCACCTCTCTAAAAACTTCATCCGTCAATAGATTGATAAGCTATGTATTTAATCAATCGTCTAATTCAGTTCATTTGTTTACTGTTTTGCTAAGATAGTCAAGAGAAAGTATGAGCATATAAAAACCACGTTCTAACTCGGAACATACATTCTATGTTGTACGTGATGGATCATATTTAAATGAATAACTACAAGCTATGTCTAGCAAGTAAATATGTGAGTGGATTGCAAATTTATTGTATTGTAATATTCTAATATGAAAAAGTTCCATATTTTGAGTTTTGTTTTCAATAAATTTTGATGATTTTGTTTTCAGACTAGACGTCTCTAATAAATTCTGATACCTGCTTAGAAAATCAGAACTTTGTCTTGTGAGTTTCCACTGTCCATCAACTTTATGCTGCTTTATAGAACTCAATAAGCTCATCACGATGGCATAACGTATGCTTTCTTATGAAATCTCCTTGAGGAGTAAGGTTAGCCTCAATTAAAAAAAAAAAGACGTGTAATCGATTATTTAGGAAATTTTAATTTTTATGTTGGTTTATAGTTTTCAATATTAAAAATTTTAACACTTGATGTGTCTTAATTGACTGGACACATTCACATAATCAAAATGAATGGAACTCCTAACAATGTCTATACTTCGACTATTTCAATGCTCTTAACATTGTCGATGTACTGAGTTGAACTATTTTATCAACATTCATTCAATTTCATTTGTATATCTTTAATATAGTTTTCTCGAAGAGTTTTGATCAGACAGTTGAATATGTTCCCTCAGAAGATGTATTTTGTGTTATAGTTTTCAATACTGAAAACTAAACTAACATAAAAATTAAAATTTTCTAAATAGCAAACTGCACTCATCTTTCTGAAGTTGAGACCGACTTTACTATTCAAAGGTAATGGAGACTCACACTTGGAAACTTTCATTCGTTAGATAAATTCGAAGCTACTAAGCAAAGAAACTTGAAAAGATCAATTTTTGCTGCCATCTACTGTTAAAACATGTATAATCAATTTCTTAATTTTCGAAGTGGGCAGAATTAGTAAAAACAGTTTGCACTTTTCGAATGTAAAATTGATTAGTGCTCTTAATAAGATTTTTTGATTTTTCTGTCATGTGAGATTTAACAATTCACCTAAAAACAATCGGCTTATTGTTGAATGAAAGCTAATCAATAGGAAATAAATCCGTAAAGCACAAAACAAAACTAAATCGTCTTATTTCTTGTTTATCAAAAACCTGTAAAAACAAAGACTTGAAAATTTTATTGACATGCAAAATGTCGCGGTAGATTTTGCATTTTGTTTGACCTATAATCCCTTCCAAGTATTGCAGCTACACTTGAAATGAAATTTGAAGCATTTTATATCGACTCATGGCGATTAATCACCATTGACAATATCAATGTGACAGAGAACATTTGGTTCTTAAGATTAAAAGAAAGTATTATCAATATGTCATGCAAGATTATAATTTGTAAAATACTTCACATGTAAGATCAAAATAAATATATCACATATTACGTAGATTTTTATTTTGAGTACTGTCACAATTACTACAAACTGGTTGTAGATTGCGTTTTATGCAATTGATTTTGTATCGATAGCATCACCTCATAAAAATATAGCTTAAAGTACATAATCAATTGTATGTTCTTAAGATATGTCAAACTTTTAGTCTCAATGATACATCATGACACGTAAACAAAGTTGTTTCTACCTAGGATTTCAAGTATTTCTAACGAATTTTGAAAAGAAACTTTCATATTTCTGCATTTATTTGACATACATGTATTGAAGAACTGTATTCAGTCATTTTATCAGTTTTGAACGATTGCCATATATCTCAGCTATAACAATACTGATATTTTGGAAACGTTTATTCATTTTCTCGTTTCTTATAATACAGTAAAACATAATACATCTTATCTTTAAAATTGCAAATTGTTTTTTTTTGTTTGTTTTCTTTTCGAAATGTTGCAATAATATTTAAATTTATTCATCTATTTAAGATGATGGATAAAGTACAAACACATATAAAAAGATTTAATATATATAGAATAATTCCATTAGTTTAATAGTCAACGCAAAAATCTTTTATTATTATACCATGACGTATACCTTCGAATATCTTATACTGTGTACAATGGAGTGATGAAAGCAAAATAAATCTATATTAATTTTGTTAGAAAAATATTTTATAGGTAATAAAATAATGAATTTATTATTACTTCCTACTAGTAATTTAAGAATATAAATCTATTTTGTTGTGATGTTTACTTTCTCAATAAGCACTGTATATATTTGATAATATATATCAGACGAAAGTCTGTATAATTGTGAGAGATAAAGAGTTTTTAAAGGTCATAGTGACTCACATCAAGTGGTCATCAAGTGTTAATCTTTAATTGAGCTGATATTCTTTCCATTCGTAGGACTCGATGAAACTAGTTGCAACCTGAAATGAGTAATTCTAATGTTTACTCCTTGGTCAAACCTTATAATCGTTTTACTAAATTTTTTTATCTTCAACAAGATACTTATGAAGAAAACGAATTAAAGAATCTCAATCTGACGATTGGTCTATGAATACGTCTCATAGTCATTAGAATGCTTTAAAACAGTGCAGTAGAAATGGATGTGTTCTTCTTATAATATTGCATATTCCAGCAGCGATCATGTATTATAAGGTGAAAAAAACCGAATTTCGTCAGTACTTTATATCTTAAGAAGTACATATGTTTATTCAGCTGAAATTTTCCGAGTATTTTTACGACTATGAGTTGTATGCATTGACAAAATTTTAGAACAAGATTCTTTAATTTCACTTCGTCCTAATTATTTTGTCGAAAGTAAAAATAAAATTGATTAAAGCGATAATAACTCAGAAAGGAAAGTACATGGAGATCAACCTTTCTCGAGTGCTAATAGTTTCATGGTGTCCTACTTATGGAAAACAAAAAGTCAGCTCGATCGGCGATTCATACTTAAGAACCTTACTTCATCAGATATTGTTTGTTTTATATGAATAGATGCTTTTCTTTTTCTTCCACAGTAAACAGTAACAGATTGTATCGATGAAGTCAGTCAATCTAACCATAAAACATAAATATTTTCCCATTAATCTTTTATTACAGAAAATTGTTGATATTATATATGAGAATCATGTATTGCTATGTCAAAATAGATGTTTCTAGACATGCTATATTCGTCTGTCACCTCTTGTCAATTAAAACAGCTGCTATTCTTTCGAGAGTGAAGTTTCTTCAATTAATGAAATAAAAAAAAGAAAAAAGAAAGAAATGAAGTCGAACAATAAGGAAAACTACCTGTAACATCCGATGAAAATATACAATTGTTTTCAAACACATTTATAATTAATATATAATTAACTTGATTATTTTAATCATATGAATATTATAGTCATGTACAGTTAATATTTAACTGTAATGTATGTAGAATTTAAATAAGCCCAGTCTGGTTGTTGATGACTATTCACTTTATAGAAATCTGAGAAATCTTACATTCTTCTGCGTTTCTTTTATTTTTATATTTTGCCTCATGAAATTTTATTAAAAAATCGTCCGAAGACAAAAAATACACAACGAATCACTTCAGTACTAATCATTTAGAGGTGTTAATAAGTGTAATTCTTTTTATAGAGTCTACGTAAGTAGTAAATAAAAACTGTTTTCTATTGTGTCAAAAACAAGTCTCGAAAGTTTTGATGAGTTTATATTTGTTGCAAAATGTTAATTAGCACATGTCTGTTGTATGTTCATTTCGATAATAATCTAATACCCGAGAGACAAAAAAAGACATTGATACTATCAATTCAATTTCTGTCTTATCTTTCTCGTTGAAGATTACTATTGATATTTTATTCAAGTGTATATAATTATTCGTTTTCTTTTTCTATTACTTTTTCGATCTTCAAGTTTCTGTTCATTGTTGTTTTATATGTATGAATAGGATGACAAGCAATCTAAAAACAGAAAAAAAGAGAAACATATTATTCGTTTACTTATTCAGGATAAATAAATACATGTTCTAAATTTCTTTTTTGCTTCTAATAGAAGAGGTGTTTGTTAACTTGAAGAGCAACACGTTCACTTTTTTTTCAACAAGAGTTATATTTATGCAAGTGGAACTACATTATAAAATAATATGTAATCAAACTTTTTCTTCCTCCTTCTCTTTC